AAGAATTTAGACCAGCCTTCAATCGTATTGCTGAGCTGAAAAGCTTTTTTACAGCAAGCCCACTTCTACTATCTGCCACCTAAACAGCTGCTGCTAGAACAGCTATAATAGAAAAGCTGCAGCTACAGAAAGACCTCTATATTTAGTGGGAGGTACCAGATAGGTAAATACAGGATTGCTAACAAATTCTTTGATACATAACATACTGAGAACTTGTACATATAATTCTGACAAAAATAGCAAGGACATATAATTAATAATGTCCTACCATACTACAAATAGTTCTTAAGGTCAAGAAATGAGCTTAATACAGTTCACCTATTTTGAAATTTTACATACTAAAAAGCTATCTGGTATTTTGATGCTCATTTTAACCTAAATTCATTGAAACTTTTGAAAAAGTTAAGACTATTGTAATCTATTACTTCCAAGCCAAATAGTCGCATATCTATTATAAGTGAATCTGGGATGGAGAACAGTTTACTCAACTGGTATTTAGACATGCTTAAGGAGCAGGGTGCACAAACTGAGAAGGCAGTTATATATGTCAGGTACATTTTAGGTGCTTTTCAAGTACTTGTGTATTTCCCTGCTTGTAAAAGAGTAAAAGAGGTTTGTTGAAGCAATTTGACAATTGTGATTTTTACTGAAATTGTATTCTTCTTCAAACTGTTTAAAGGGGAAGCTATGTATTGGCATTATATTTAAAAGAAATCAATTTATATTTTAGTTAACTTTTTTGCCCCAAATAAAAAGCTTCAAGATATTTCAACATGATATTTTAAAAAATCAGGTTTAAAAAAATTAATACTTCATGGTAAAAGTTGACAGTCCTATATTACAATTGTCAAACTCTCTGTCATAATGCTTACTTTTTCATTTAGTGATATTCTTTCAAGTTGAATCTCTATCATTCAAAATTGTTATGGGTTGTTAATTTTCCCTTTGTTATATATATAACAGAAAGAAAACATTTTTTATAAATATACATGTTGAAAATAAATAAATATATATATTTATTTGTAATGAACCACTAACTTTATTTACTTGTTCATTAAGAATTTTATTCTAAATAAATTCAATTGATTCACAGCTTTATGACGATATGTTTATTATGTTTTTGTCTTTTTTGGGAGTAATTCTGCTATATACATGAAATTTATATATTTATTTGCAGTGGTGTATCACAGATGTCCAAATTGGCTGTTGATTTTTTTTGGTTTCCTAGGAAAACATGCATACACTGGTAGCGAGAAGAAAATGATTTTTAAAATGTTTCATTCTGGTATGGAGAAGGGAGACTTAAGCCGCTCAAGCCGGTGCTAGGGGGCGTGAGTGATGTTGCACTTATTCATTATCACTCGTGTACAGACTCAATCAAACCGAGTCTGCAATTCTTATGTTATTTTGTTGTGATTAATGCTTCCGAGGGATCACTTTGTTTCCAGAATTTAGAATCAATTTTAGGAGTTTTCGAAACCTGATTCTACAGTTAGAATGTTAGTTTGCACTATTGCGTTTGGTATAGGTGTCAACTTACCAGACATAAGATATGTGTTACATTTGGGCTGTTGCAAGTCAGTTGAGGATTACTGGCATGAGCTTGGTAGAGCTGGAAGCTGGATAGTCTCCCTGCAAAGGGTATTATGTATGCTACAAAGCACTCGTTAATAAATGTTGATCAGTCTATGAAATTCTGGAAACAAAGTGATCCCTCGGAAGCATTAATCCCAACAAAATAACATAAGAATTGCAGACTCGGTTTGATTGAGTCTGTACATGAGGGATAATGGAAAAGTTCAATATCCCTCACGCCCTCTAGCACCGGCTTAAGCGGTACTCAATTCTCAACACTTTATAGTGTTGGCATCAATGATCCCGAAGGACCAGAAAATATAACAACACTGAAGTGAAGTACGGGGCAACTTTTTACGGCTGCCACACAGCACTTGACACCTGCTGTTGTGAAGTACAAAATTCTGGAAACAAAGTGATCCCTCGGAAGCATAAATCACAACAAAATAACATAAGAATTGCAGACTCGGTTTGATTGAGTCTGTACATGAGGGGTAATGAATAAGTGCAACATCCCTCACGCCCCCTAGCACCGGCTTAAGCGGTACTCAATTCTCAACACTTTATAGTGTTGGCATCAATGATCCCGAAGGACCAGAAAATATAACAACACTGAAGTGAAGTACGGTGCAACTTTTTACGGCTGCCACACAGCACTTGACACCTGCTGTTGTGAAGTACAAAATTCTGGAAACAAAGTGATCCCTCGGAAGCATTAATCCCAACAAAATAACATAAGAATTGCAGACTCGGTTTGATTGAGTCTGTACATGAGGGAAAATGAATAAGTGCAACATCCCTCACGCCCCCTAGCACAAAGAAAGTGCATCCTGCTCTTAATATGATCAAAAAAGGAAACCTAACAGAACACCCAAAATCTGATTTATAGGACTTGTTCTAATCATGTAAGATAATCACAGAGAACAAGTGTGTGAAGTTTTAATCCATTTCCTTTAGAAGTTATGTAGATACCAGATTACACGCAAAAACTTAACCAAGAAATTCTAAGTCGGAAAATGGGCCTAATTATGCAAAAAAGCAAATCAGAGTTATGGGACTTGTTCCCAATCATGTTAGATAATCACAGAGGACAAGTGTGTAAGTTTCAATCCATTCCTTTCAGTAGTTATTGAGATACCAGCTTACATACAATAACTTAACCAAAAATCTAAGTCAGAAAAGGGGCATACTTATGTAGAACAGCAAATCAGAGTTATGGAACTTGTTCCCATCATGTTAGATAATCACAGAGAACAAGTGTGTAAATTTTCAATTCATTGTCTTAGGTATTTTTATGGGGGATAGCTTACACGAAAAAATTTTAACCCATGGGGAACTGTGCGCTCACCCTCACATAGACTTTGGGAATTTCATTTTGGAGATTAAAAAAACTTTTTCCAGTTTTATTACTTTTCAAAAGGTATTTTTTTAAAGAAGCAAATTTAAAAATAAACAAGCGTTTCACAGTAACATTTTTATTTCATTTTCTTAAATTCTATTTGACATGGTTACTTTATTCATAAGTAACAAATCATGATAAACAGAAAATAATAATAACTTGTATGCATACATTTTGAGATATTACAAACATTTGATAAGTTTGCATTTCGAAAAATACCAAAACATCTAAAGCATAATTATAATACTTATTTCATTTCCATTTTTTCAAGACTTTTTTGGCATTGGCTTTCTTGATATTTATATAATATATTATATGTATATAATATATATTTTTTAAATATTTTTTGCAATAAATTTGTGTCGTAAACATGGTCTAACACAAGTCTATTACAAAACATTGTCATTTGTAAATATTTATGCCAACAAATAAGTCAGCAAGTCAACTTAGATGATAGGATTTCACTTTGAAAGAAGTCTCTCTGAGACTTATTTCACACCATACTTGATCAGGCGATCTCGCAAATTTCCTGGCTGTTTAACAGATATTCTATGAATAAAATAGATAAATACAGAATCCCTAAAGAAAGCCCAACACGGCAAAATTGAAAATGTTGCAGGCTCGGTTTGATTGAGCCTGTTCATGGACGGTACTGGAAAGTGCAAGTTACCGTCCACGCCCCCTAGCACCGGCTTAAGCAGAATTCAACATTTAACATGAACTGGTAAAATTTAGAATTTTGAAACATCCGCAGATGTGTTCATATGGCGGTTATCATGGAACCTTCAATGTGACACGGTAGTGCCATTCCATGAAAAGCGGCATATGGTCCCCAAGTAAAAAAAATGCGTGTGCCCTAAACGAGAAAACAATGGGCGGAACAAAATAAAATGGAATTTAGAAAGGGGATCTGAGGTTATGAAGCCTGCGTATCACAGATAGGACGTCAAAAGACAAATTTAAAAAGCAGGCAACATATCCTAAGGGTGATTCGGGTGATTCAACATTATTCAAGTAGGAATATTGGAACCACCCAACTAGAAAGTGCCAAAAAGTTGAAACTAAAAATACCACAAGCACAACAATAATGTCGTGCTGAACGATCTTCAAGGATCGAAAATATAACATCATTGATTAAATGTACGGGGAGACTTTTTACAGCCGCCACACGGCACAAATAACACGGATGTGATCATAAAATAGATAAATACAGAATCCCTAAAGAAAGCCCAACACGGCAAAATTGAAAATGTTGCAGGCTCGGTTTGATTGAGCCTGTTCATGGACGGTACTGGAAAGTGCAAGTTACCGTCCACGCCCCCTAGCACCGGCTTAAGCAGAATTCAACATTTAACATGAACTGGTAAAATTTAGAATTTTGAAATCGACTAGAGGACTATAATTACGAAACGATGAAATCGATAACTTACTTTTAAATTCATTGTTGAGGAATTCATTCAGCAGGTCGAGGGGGATGTTAGCACCTGCCTCGCCTCGCAGATTGGCTGTGCTATTCCATATAATTTAGGCTGATCCGTTCTGGCATCCATCCGTTAACACCTAAATTATTGAAAACATGGTGTAATTCAGAAAGCAAAAATTCGGACAGATGGTGACTGTTTTAAGCTTAACTTTATTTGTAACACGGTTTAAGAATTGAGAATTGAGTACCGCTCAAGCCGGTGCTAGGGGGCGTGAGGGATGTTGCACTTATTCATTATCCCTCATGTACAGACTCAATCAAACCGAGTCTGCAATTCTTATGTTATTTTGTTGTGATTGATGCTTGGGAGGGATCACTTTGTTTCCAGAATTTTTTAATTTGTTTTTTCCAGTTTTGTGGTGCAGCAAAAATGATTTTGTATTTATTTTAAGGAACAGATATTTGCCTGGCATTGTACGCTTTAGACATTAAGCTAGGGCAATATGAAGCATTTAATTTAATTCTTTTATGTTTTTAAATATGCTTTTGATTTCATTTGAAGTCTTTTGAAAAACAATATTCAAAATTAACTCACTTACTAAAAGACGATAAGCAAGCGTAAGATACTTATTAAGGCGCCACAATGTTATCATTTTTCAACCCATCATTTTCCCTTTCCACGTCACGTTCCACATAATATAGAAGTCCTCTCCACAAGGTACTCATAGCATATGCTTGCTTGTGCTCTGTATTCTGAGATGTGCGACACACTTCAGAGCAGTACCAAGAACCTGCAAAATATCACTCACTATGATTTTTACAAATAAATTAAAATGATATTCTGCCTATAGGTAACATTTATTTTGATGAAGGAATTGGCAGGACCCAGATTGATACAACAATTAGTGGCTTCTGCAGGTTCATAGTTCTTGTATTTAAATGTCAGATTTTCTTTTGATCTGCACAATCAAACACAGATTACTAGTTAAATCTTGAAAATCTTCTTACTTGTTGTGTTTCCTACACAGCTGGTGTGAAACCATTGATTCCTTAAACATGATGCAGCGGACTGACATTCAATCCATGTATCCTCTTTTTGTTTTCCGCAACGGAACACACTAAGCCCCTTATTTTTGCAGTGATCGGAACACCACCAGTCTTCGTCTTCAACATAATGTTCAATATTAACATAATGCTGGTGAAACGACATTGTCTCTCATCGGTTACAGCTGGAACATTCCACCCAGTCATTACCGCCTTAAATGATAAAAATTATATCTTTTACATATAATTATAACAGTTCCGTTTGTTTTATGCTCAATGTTTAAATACTTGAAATATAATGTTATGATATTGCTACAGTTTCAGAAAATGATAAGAAAAAAGTATATATTGTACATAGGCAAAGATAAAAAGTACACAGTAGGTTTTCTGATGGGTAAATTCATATGTAAATGTAGTTTTAATTAAAATCCTGACAATGACTTAAAAATGTAAGACCATATGTGCAGCTTTAATAATTAAATGACAGACTCTCAGTGTGTGCATTCATTAAATTTTACATATTCACTGAAATTTCATGAATACTTGTAAAATGAAATTATATATTTCTTTTTTTTGGATCAGGTTAGAGTGATTTATCTTTAATGCATCAAACATTCCATTTCAGGATTTTTTAATGATTTTTCTTTGTATCTAACTATGACTTCATAGTGAACACTAAAAGAATTTAAACATTTCTCTGAGATTGTTTATTCATAAATTTCAATGTTTAAACATACATTCTTCATTATTGCAGATTCAGGAATATTGTCTTTCCTCCTCAATGGCAGACATATAGTTTTCCATGGTGGGCCACACAAACTGCAGCAACACATCGTCATTTGTTTTCAGGTAATCTTTCAAATTGTCAGTGTCTGTGTCTTTTAAATGACTAGCTAAAAGGAGAATATGGCCTTCTGTCACAAAGTCCATGAAATCAACTAAATGATTCATGCAATCACTCTCCTTTTTTACATTTCTGTGTCCAAAAAAATTCTTGATTTGCACAAGTGTAGATATATGTAGATATATTGAAATGAAATAGCTACATGTATATCCTCTTAACATTTTTATAGTCAGTTCTATATAATTGCTGCTTTTGAAACTATTTTATTACACTGAAGGGGGCAATCTTTTATGGGAAAAGATCATAAAAAACCAAAAAATTGATATTTATTTATGTTTTTAATAAATTTATTTTCCCTTTAAAACCCCTTCTACAAACTTATTTTTTAACCTTTTCAACTGTTTTTGATTGTTACAAAGTTTAATGGCATTTTATGATTCATATATTTTAGTGGCAAACAAAATGTAACTATTACCAGCAGCAAAATGACACGTTTGTTGAAATTCTGTGGACGTGGAATTAATCCTTCCAGTCTATCAGAAGGTTCCCTACATGATGACATGGCAATTTTTCCATCAATCATTCTCTCAACAGAGAGCTGGTCCTCGTGGCATATAATTGGCCAAACACTGCAAGTACCATCAGATGGAACATAACGCTCAAGGTACTTCATTATTGAAATAACACCTTGGCAAGTTGATAGATTTTCTTTGATTTCACCAAGGTTGACCTTGAAATGGAAGTAATTTCTGGTAATTCATGTAAACATACAGTTATTTATCAATTTGTTTACATTTTCATTGTAAAAAATAAAAAGCAAATTCGTTGAATTTATATCCCCCGCCGAGTACTGGTTATTATTAACACAACAACTGAAGACATAAGGCTTTATTTATATATTAATCATGGCATAAACAGTAATATTCTTTGAACTTGATAAATATTCAGGGCAATAACAGAGCCATAACTTTGTGTTAAATAGTTAAATCTGGAAATGCCAATGAGATGTATGCATACTACATAACTACTCAAGGGCCATAAATCTGAGTTATAAGTATCTGACTGGAACAAGGCGACTATATGCGCATCTCCTCTTAGTATCCCATAAAGTTTCATTGAATTCCAGCCAGTAGTAGCAGAGAAGTAGCAAGGAAACAAATATTTTTCTATATGGATACCGCATAACTAATCAAGGGCCATAACTCTGAGTTAAAGTGTCTGACCGGAACAAGCAGACGATATGCGCATCTCCTCTTGGTATTGAAGGTTCCCATAAAGTTTCGTTGAATTCCAGCCAGTAGTTGCAGAATAGTAGCGCGGAAATGATTTTTACTCCATATACATACTGCATAACTAATCAAAGGCCATAACTCTGAGTTAAAGTGTCTGACCGGAACAAGCCGACGATATGCGCATCTCCTCTTGGTATTGAAGGTTCCCATAAAGTTTCGTTGAATTCCAGCCAGTAGTTGCAGAGAAGTAGTGCGGAAATTATTTTTACTCTATATGCATACTACATAACTCATCAAGGGCCATAACTCTGAGTTAAAGGGGGTCTGACCGGAACAAGCCGACGATATGCGCATCTCCTCTTGATATTGATGATTCCCATAAAGTTTCGTTGAATTCCAGCCAGTAGTTGCAGAGAACTACTCCGGAAACGATTTTTACTCTATATGCATACTACATAACTAATCAAGGGCCATAACTCAGAGTTAAAGGGTCGGACCGGAACAAGCCGACGATATGCGCATCTCTTGATATTGATGGTTCCCATAAAGTTTCGTTGAATTCCAGCCAGTAGTTGCAGAGAACTACTCCGAAAACGAAATTCGGACGGACGGACAACGCCAAAACTATATCCCCTCCCGATTCCATCGGCGGGGGATAACTAATAAGTTCTATGTCAAAATATATTCAGTTATAATACACGATGCCATGTGAAATATGATAAACAAGATCAACAAGGGAAGGCGGCGTTCAATGAACGCACCCCCTCCCTGAAGTCCATTTTACATAAACTGTTTACCAAGACCTTTCAAAAAATTCTTAACAGCAAACTATTTTTTAATATATATAAGATTATCTAAGCTATTTAGTTATAAACATGTCTATCAGATAATACGAGTCTTTATCAATGCTGTATGCTTAAACCTGAGGTAAAATTATTGTTAACAAACATTTATACATTAATTTATAGCACTGCATGTTTGTTATGTCGTTTGTCATTGGATTATCGTTGTTTGGATAATCTTTATACATGTATTTGATCAATTTATTTATTAATTTCATTTCCCGTTTATAAATAAATTTTTCAGTATTGTAAATTTGTTATTAAGATTATTGACATGTTATATGGTCGTTTATAAAGTGTTCTTTGAAATACAACTCTCACTTAACTGCTTTGGTTATATATACAAACTGTTTATATAGGGTCATATAACCTGTCAAAATATTAAAAACTCGTAATATTGCCTGTAATACAATGCCGTAGCATTCACCAGTGACACCACATTTATGTAAATCCTTTGTTAGCAGGAACATTCAAAATATTATCTTCCAAATTGCTACTGCAATTAAATTTTAGTTTCTTACCAAGAAGATTCCCCTGAGAACTGATGTTGAATATGTCAAGTTCAAAAAATAGATAAATACAGAATCCCTAAAGAAAGCCCAACACGGCAAAATTGAAAATGTTGCAGGCTCGGTTTGATTGAGCCTGTTCATAGACGGTAAGTACTTTCAAAAGGATACGCTCCATCATCCTCTCCATTCTACACTGCAGTTCAAGCCATTCACAGTCTCCCGGAAGAATATTCTGCATTGTTGATTTATGGTAATAATTTATACAAAAATTAACACTCCTATATAAATATGCATTAATTAAATACTGCAGTTATTCATTAGAAATAATAATTTCTGCAAGATGCTGGCAAATCGTCGGCCTGCTCTTAAAATGTCCTAACTGCCAAAATGCTATATTGAGAAAAACGACTTTAAACATTTTGCATCTTAATATTTTTTTCCACGTGACCCCACTGAATTGAAATTTTTCACACGTCTATATTTAGGATTTTAATGCGCACAAAGGCGTTTATCTTTCTTTCTGGAGAAAGACTGAGAGTAAATATGTAAAAAAAAAATAAATTTGAGATAGAGCAAAAGGTCAAAATGTTTCTTAAAAAGTCACTCTAAAAGTGCGTCATTGGAGATAAAGCAAAGTAATACCAAAATTAAATGAAGGAGCCAGAGAGAGATACGATACTTTAATGGTAGAAATTATTACATACACAGGCTGTTTTAACCTTTAAAATGCACTTATTATGCTTGTTCGTATGTGTAATTAGATTTTATTGTAAATCATTACAAGCCGTTGCAATAATTTTTCAACGCAAATGAGCGACTGGATGTTTCTTTGTATAATAGTATAAAACTTGCTAAATAAGTTAAGGGAAAATAAATTCAGAAAACCGACCTAAACGTAACGTAATGCATCAAACCTAAAGGGTTAAGACTTTATGATATTGGTCCCCAGATATTCAGTCACAACAAGTTAAACAATTTATAACTGTTAATCATAACTTTTGTAACATTAATAAATATGACTTCTTGTCATTGATATCTTAAACATAAATACTGATCGTAAGTTGCGTAACAAAGAAACATATCTTAATTATAGACAAATATAGATATACATCATATAAAAGGTATTAGATTGTCTTTATATTTTCATATATAGCATGTTACTTTGCAAAATCTCAATCTGTATGTATTAACATAATTATACAACTGACATTAATGCAAAATGTCTGTATTAAACAAAAACATAAAACAGCGTCTCGTCATACCGTGAAAAAATTTCATGAAAAATTTGAATTTTCTATTATCTAACATTTTTTCAATGGACTAAGGTTAACATTATTAAAATGTTATTTACTTTCTTTAACAATGTAAGAAAACCTGTTGCCAAGGTACTTCATCAAATCTGCCATGTAGTAGTCATAAATATTAAACGTAAATCAGCCATTCATGTGGCTTGCAGTTTTAAACATAAATGCAACAATAACACGATGCCAAAGTACAACATCAAAAAAGAAAATATATTCCAATGTCTCATCATAATATTGAATTTCGTAAATTTCTCAAACATAATATTAATCACCTGTAGATGTAGATGAGTATTTGATTAATTGTGTTATAGAATAATACCATGATCAAATTCTTATTATGTCTATTTGCGTAATACTATAGCACTTGCACTAATAAAGGTTTATATTTTGCACAGACTTTTCATGAACATGCGATCCTCTGTCGGCATAAATCGTAGCATGGTTTCTATATCTTTTTTCTTGTCATCAGACAAACCCTTTCCACATTTTAGAATTTTAGGCAAAGGAAGTAAGTCTGCTTTGCAAGATAAACTTGTTGTCCTTAGAATTGTCGCCTCTGTGTACTGAACATCAAATGACTCTTTAAAAAACACTTGAAACGGCAATCCGTTCACGTATTTCAATGCTTTAACTCTTGTAAATGG